GTCCATGGACTGCCGGATAAAAAACCAGGTTCGTGCACGCGGGGAAATTACTACTCAGCCTTTAAAAAGAAGGAAATTCTGCCCCGGCTGATTTGGCTCAGTGGTTAGTGTCAGCCCTCGGACCAGAGAGTCACAGGTTCAATTCTGGTCAAGGGCACATACCTCAGTTGCAATTCGGTCCCCAGCCCTGGCTGGGGTCACGCAGGAGGCAGCCAATCAGTGTGTCTCTCTCACATAGATGTTTCTCCTGCCCTCCCTCACACTCCTCCGGTGAGGATTAAAGAAAAAGACACATTCTGTATGATTCCACTTACATGCGAATAGTTTAACTCTGAGACAGAGAGTCGATGGGGTGCCTGGGGGGTGGGGCGGGGGTGGGGAAGTCAGTGTTTAATGGGGACAGATGCAGGTTTCCCAGATGAAGAGTTCAAGGTTGCACAACAGTGTGAACGTAGCTACTCTCGATGACTTGGACCCTGAACGCAGTTAAGATGGTCAATCTCACGCTCTGTGTATTTCACCACAATTTAAGGCAGGACATCCTGACCCATGCCGCAGCAGATGAGCTTCGAAAACGTCACTCCAAGTGGAAGGAGCCAGTCACAACAGATCGCACACGGGAAGACTGCGTGTATGAGAAGCGTCCAGGTCAGGGAGAGCCACAGACACGGAGGGAAGACGGCTGGTACCAGGCGGAGGAAGGGGTGATGCTGACGGGTCCGAGGCTTCTCTCCAAACATGTTTAAAAGTGGGAGAGGTGGGGGGTGCATCACAATCTCATTGTACTAAGTGCCACGGAACTGTTCACTTTAAAAGGTTAAGGTAGCCCGGCCGGTGTGGCTCAGTGGGCTGGGCATCATCCCGTGCACCGAGAAGTCGCTGGTTGGATTCCTGGTCAGGGCACATGCCCAGGCTGCGGGTTCCGTGTCCAGGCGGGGTGGGTACAGGAGGCAACCGATCAATGTTTCTGTCTCACATCAATGTTTCTCTCTGTCTCCCTCTCCCTTCCTCTAAAATCAATAAAAAACATTTTATTTTTTTAAATTATGATATTTGATTTTTCTTTTTTTTTAATCCTCACCCAAGGATTTTTTTTTTTTTTTTTTAATATTTATCTTCAGCCCTGGCCGATTTGGCTCAGCGGTTAGAGCGTCGGCCTGCAGTCCGGAGAGACCCAGATTCGGTTCCCGCTAAGGGCACGTACCTCAGTTGCAGTTTGTCCCCGGCCCTGGTTGGGTTGTGCGGGTGGCAACCACTTGATGTGTCCCTTTCACATCGATATTTCTCTCTCTCTCTCTCCCTCCCACTCTATCTGAACAAAACATCGAAAAATGTCCTCGGGTGAGGATAAAACAAAAAAACAAACAAACACAAAATTTAAAAATAAATAAATGAAAAGTTAAAGTAGAAAAATTTTAATGTGTACTTTACACAATTTTTCTAACCCCCTGTAAAACCGGCAAAATTCGTACTGAACAGAACATGTGGAAAGGTGAACAGGAACTCGGGCCAGCTGGCGCCAATGGCCCCCCCCGGACGTGCCCGGCTGGCACAGTGAGCCCACACTTTCGCTGGTGCCCGTCTCTGGCCTCGGGGCGGCAGTCCACCCACCCAGCCCTCCTGGCCAGGGCCTCACGCAGCTCAAGGACACATTTACGTGCCACCATCTGACCACTCCCACGTAACCTCCGCCCGTGCAGAGCTGCTTGGGGCCACAAAAACCACCGGGAACGTGGGCGCCATGGCCATGGGGTGACCAGAACAGGGCTGTCCTTACCGTCCACGATCAGCATTTAAATCAAGCCGGAGACTTCCGGTCAAGATGGCGGCGTAGGTAAATGTGGCATCGCGTCCTCCCACAAGCACATCAAAGTTACAACTAAACTACAGAACCACCATCATTCAGAACCGCCTGAAATCAAGCTGAACAGAAGTCCTACAACTACAGAATTAAAGCAGCAGCCACATCGAGACTGGTAGGAGGGGCGGAGGCATGACAGGCTGGTCCCACACCCATGTGTGGTGGATAAAAATCAGGAGGAGACCTCGGCTGGGAAGGTCCTTCCTGAGGACTGAGGGGTCCCCATCCCACACCAGACGCCCCACTCAGGGTTCCAGTGTCAGGAAGAAAATTCCCATAACTTCTGGCTGGAAAAACCAGCAGGAACTGAGGCTCAGGGAGGCTGAGGCGGCTGGAGCCCCAGGCAGCTCCTTAAAGGGCCCGCGCACGGACTTACCGGACTCACTCCCTCTAAGCTTGGAGGGGAGGCAGCTCAAGGGGCACCTGAGACATACAGGGAAGAACTGAGCTGTTTGGCACTGGAGCGAGGGCTGGAGAGGGGCTTTCTCCGGGACAAACGTGCTGTCAGAGGCCGTTGTTCCTTTGGTGAGCCCTTCCCTGGGGCAGCAGACAGCCCCCATACCTGGGACTCCAGCTACCTGGCTCACACTGGTAGCCCCGCCCTGGTGACTCCCTGAGGCCCCGCCCCACCCAGCTTTCAGGCCCACCCAAGCTGTTGCCACTTGCTTAACCATAGGATTGGCCTGTCTTGGATCCTGCTTCAGGTTTTCCTAAATTTTTTCAAACAAGCAGCATCTGGTCTCGGCTAGCCCCATACCTCTCGTTAAGTAATACACAGAAACAAACACAGGAAGGCAGCCAAAATGAGGAGACAAAGAAACAGGTCCCAAATGAAAGAACAGAACAAAACCCCAAGAAAAGAACTAAGCGAAATGGAGATAAGCAACCTAACAGATGCTGAGTTCAAAATACTGCTTATAAGGATGCTCAATGAACTCAGTGAGAACCTCAGTGAACTTAGTGAGGGCCTCAAGAACATAAAAAAAGACCAGTCAGAAATGAAAGAGGCATTAACTGAAATAAAGAATAATTTACACAGATTCGATAGTAGAGTACGTAAATCCAAGAAGCACACCATCGATTTGGAATATAAAGGAAGCAAAAAGTGCCCAATCAGAACAGCAAAAAGAAAAAAGAATCCAAAAAAATGAGGATACTGTAAGAAGCCTCTGGGACAACTTCAAGTGTGCCAACATTCGCATCTTGGGGGTGCCAGAAGGAGAAGAGCGAGAACAAGAAATTGAAAACCTGTTTGAAACAATAATGGCAGAAAACTTCCCTAACTTGGTGAAGGAAACAGACATACAAGTCCAGGAAGCACAGAGAGTCCCAGACAAGATGAACCCCAAGAGGCCCACACCAAGACACATCATCATCAAAATGCAAAAGGTTCAAGGCAAAGAGAGACTCTTAAAAGCAGCAAGAGAAAGGCAGTTAGTTACCTACAAGGAGGTTCCCATAAGACTGTCAGCTGATTTCTCAAAAGAAACTTTGCAGGCCAGAAGGGAGTGGCAAGAAATATTCACAATGATGAAAAGCAAGAACCTACAACCAAGATTACTCTTTCCTGCAAAGCTGTCATTTAGAATCGATGGCCATATAAAGTTTCTCAGACAAGAAAAAGTTAAAGGAGTTCATTACCACCAAACCGTTACTATATGAAATGATGAAGGGTCTTTTTGAAGAAAAAGATAAAATATATGAACAAACAAAATGGCAATGAATACATATCTATCGACAGTGGAAACTGCAGGCAAGGTGAACAGGCAGAGCAGAGACATTCTCGTGGATGCAGAGAGCATTTTGTTGGTTGCCGGATGAGAGGGGGGTTGGGGGAATGGGTGGGGAAGGTGAAGGGATTAAGAAGAGCAGGTTCATTGCTGGACTGACAGGCCTCAAAAGGAAGGGGGTTGGGGGTGGGAGGAAATAAACCAAAGAACTTATATGCATGACCAATGGACACAGACAATAGTGTGGGAAAAGGCGGGAGGGGGGTGGGAGTGGCGAGGAGGGGGTCAATGGGGGGAAAATGAGGAACATCTGTAATACATTCAACAATAAAGATGTATAAATAAAAAAATAAATAAGTAAATAAATAAATCAAGCCGGAGAGTACATACTGGAGAGGACGCCAACCCTCAAACAGCCTAGGAGCTCGGGCCCCGTGTGGAGGGCTCTGTCCACTCCTGACCAGTGAGTCAAGGCCGTCCTGCTCCACAGCTGTCAGCCAGGTGGGCGTCAGCGCCCAGAGCTGGGATCATGCCCAGGGGAGGGCACCCAGCTGCCAGCCAGCCTGGCTCCCCGGGCACCTGCCGCCTCCCAGTGCTGGAGGGACACTCTCCCACAGAACCCAGTCCCAGAGCTGCCTGGCACGCACCTCAAGGACCTGCTCCTGTGCCCGAGGCGGGACTCTGGCGAAGTGAACACATTCTCCAAATTCCCCCACGGTGACACGGACGCTGCTGAGTCACCCCCATTCGACCTCTGGCAGAGACCCGAGTCCTCGGGTCCCATGATCCCCGTGTCCCCAACACAGCAGAGGCTAGTCAACCCCAACAACCCTCCCTTCACAAGGCCGGTGTGACTGTGCCCAGGATGGAGTTCCTGGTGTGTGCCCTGGACGGTCCACCCTGGCTGGGCCGCTGCCTTCTCAGTGTGGTTTCCAACCTGAGTCTCAAGCTTCACCTCCACCCACCCCTTCCCCACCCTTGCCTTCCGTTACCACCCTGTGATGAGCTTGTTGTCTGCCCCCCCACGACGTTCAGGCTTCCGCTGCCCCTGCCCAGCCAATGCATGCCAACTCCGAGACTGTACCCCTCACTCTCCACTGCTCCCCACCTGGGCCCGTCCCTCCTGGGGAAGATCAGGGTGTTTCAGGGACTTCTGGCACCAACCAACCCAGCTGGTAGCCCCCCCAAACGACCACACTCATTCACCAGGACAGACACACAGAAAGAGGCAGGTACACCAGCCAGTGAAAACCCCACAGCAGGCCCCCTCATCCGCTCACTCCCCTTAGAGTCTTCATGGGGTCAACAGCCCTAAGCCACAGGCCGCCAAAAGTGTCACCGTCCCCTTGCCTGCACCCCGTCAAAGTTCAACCCGCAGCACCAGAGTCAGAGGGAGAGGCGGTACTCACTGTCTTCTCCAGGGCACGGCAGGCCGGGCTGCTCGGGGGTGCTCGGGAAAACTGCACAGAGGGGGAGAGAGAGCGTTAGTGCCAGTGTCCGCCACCGGACGCAGTCACGCGGGGAGGGAGGGTCAGGCTGACCGCGCTCCGCCACACAGCCCGAGTGGCCGACGACCACCTGCGTTTCGGAGACTCGGGAACCCAAGTGCGTCCACCCAAATCCCTCCTGCAGACTTTCCCAGGGGTGTCAAAGAAGCCATCGGAGGGATGCAGAGGCTGACATGTGCCAAACAAACCGGAGAAAAGAGACCCATGGCACTCTGAAAGCCGACATCGGCAAGCTCACCAGACCCCCTGTCTCGGCACTAACGGGGTTCACAACAGATACTGTCAAACATACCCAGGACTTCCACAGCAAAGTATCAACAGCGGAGTTTACAGAGTATGGAAACTGCCCTGGCCAGCTGGCTCAGCAGTTAGAGCGTCGGCCTGCGGACCAGAGTCGCGGGTTTGAGTCTGGTCAAGGGCATGTACCTCGGTTTCGGTTCATCCTCGGCCCTGGTCAGGGTTGTGCGGGAGACAGCCAGTCAATGTGTCTCACATCGATGTTTCTCTCTCTCTCCCCCTCCCTCCCATTCTGTCTGAAGATAAATGGAAAAGTATCCTCGGGTGAAGCTTACAAAAGAGGCCCTGGCCGGTTTGGCTCAGCGGTTAGAGCTTCGGCCTGCGGTCTAGAGAGACCCGGGTTCGGTTCCCGCTAAGGGCGCGTACCTCGGTTGCAGTTTGTCCCCGGCCCTGGTTGGTCATGCGGGTGGCAGCCACTCGATGTGTCCCTTTCATGTCGATGTTTCTCTCTCTCTCTCTCTTCCTCTCTCTCCCTTCCACTCTATCTGTACAAAAAATGGAAAAATGTCCTCGGGTGAGGATAAAAAAAGAAAAAAAAAAAGAAAAGAGAGTATGAAAACTAAGCTAAAACACTCTTTATCCTAATCTGGGGCACGGTGAATGTTTAAAGCACCACAGTTGTGAATGTTGAAGGCCCCATACATGTGCTTACATCACAGTCATGACGTGGACAGGGTGAGTCTTTTTTTTCAATATGTTTTTATTGTTTCATTGTGTTTTTTTTTCAGAAAGAGAGGAAGGGAGAGAGAGACAGAAACATCCGTGTGAGAGAGAAACATCCATCGGCTGCCTCCTGCACGCCCCCTACTGGGGATCGAACCCGCAACTCAGGCACGTGCCCTGACCAGGAATCGAGCTGGGACCTCTTAGCCCACCGAGACACAATGGCCAGCCAAGGTGAGCTTTTAATCTAAACTAAAGAGCTACAAAAATATGATATTTTAACCAACTATTAGCCCAACTGACAGAAAACGGTAACCAGTTTTACACTCTGGTCCACCACATGGCTGGTTGGCCACGGCTGCCGGAGCCACACTCTCGGGCCCCACAGACACCCTGTGAAAAGCCCCAATTTAAAGATCGTACTGGAATGATACAATATTTCCATCTACACCCCAACTCTGAGCCTAACAGGCCGACTAAAAGCTGGGGGCCCATCCCTGGCAGCGCCGTGGGACAGTTCCCTGCGGGGCCTGCTCGGCCTCGCACCCAGGCCCTTGGAGCTCCAGGAGAAATGGAGGCAGCTGAGCGAGCTCAGGTTCTAACACACCTGGGGACATCGGCCCCCAGGACTCACAACCAGAACCCAGGCTTCTGAGCCCGTGAGGAGACACCTCCCTGACTACCAGTAACAGTAACTTTCATTTGGGTTAACACAATGTACAAGAGAAAAAGAAATCAAAACTACATTATGTCCAACATCCTTAAATTCCCCGGGACCCTAAGGTTTTAAACTGTGGTCCTCCGTGTGGCTCCCAGTCCCCGGGGGTCTGACAAAGCCACCGCACCCCCCACGCCTGCCCTGCGGGCGGCACTGACCGTGAATGATGAGCCCGTCGTCCCTGCGCTGACAGGACAGGCGGAAGGCCTCCTCCAGCTCCATCTGGGAGGACACGGTGCAGGGGTCACCTAGGCGGGCGAGACACTCGCTGAGGCCACCCAGGCCTAAGGCAGAGGGGTCCACAGGATGTGCACTCCCCCAGAGCAGAGGGAGGCCCCAGAACCGCCAGTTCCACACCAGAACCCACCCACCCCCAGAAAGGAGGCGAGTTCACCCACAGCCACGAGCAGAGCTAAGCTTCGCAGCTCCTGGGCTTGGGCGAGACCCAGAACGTTCTTTTTAGGTCAGTCCCAACTCGAAGGGAGAGGCTCCTGGCCGTCCATCGCCAGACAAGGAACACAGACATGCCTAGGGCAGCACCATGTGGCCCTGTTCCCATGGGGGGGGGGGGGCATCCTGGCTGCCAGCCACAGCCACAGCCATCCTGGAGAAGGGGGTCTCTTCTGGACAGTCTCCCAAACCCTCGGCTCTCTGGGATGTGTGTCCAGAGACAGGAATCAGAATGAGAAAGCCCCTAGCGACACTTAACCTGCCCACCTTTCCCGAAAACATGAAGAGCTCACCCTTCCAATCACCCACAGGGAAGGCCCCCCATATGAGAACAGGCTGTCAGGTCAGGAGGGTAAAGATGAGTCCCCAGTGGGGCCGAGATCCCTGCAGCCCTCCCTGGGGGTGGCTCACCTGCCTACCCTCACCCAGTTTCCCTTCCGAAGGTGGCCAACCTCTGTCCAAGACAGACTTCCCGTCCCCACTGGAGAAACTGCTGTGATCTGACACCTCCCCACAGAGGGGCCAGGCCAGCCTCAGACACCCAGACGCAGAGACTGCCCTGCAGACACCCGTCCCGGGGCTACCTTCACTGTCCACCCACTTGAGGGTGAGCGGCTGCCCCTGGCGGAGGCTGCACATCTCTCTCACTTCGGCACAGAGCTCCTCAAAGGTGGTGGCGGCATCCAGGCTGGTGATCAGGATGTCCCTGGGGCAGAGAGGAGGCAGCGTCACCATGGCGCATAAGTAATCAAAGTAAACACGGATTATTGATAAACCCAGGTATTGACTAAACAAATGAAATTTCCCCAGAGCCACGGACCACAGTTTTGTTAAAAAGTGCCCACAAAGGAAAGATCTGTCCTGGCGCCTGGCTGCCCCCAACGGGGAGGCGCAGGGGGAGAACGGAGGCGGGAGCCGCAGAACGCGCCCCCTAGTGGAAGCTGCGCGAGCAGCAGCTCAGACACCAAGTTCCAGTTCTGCCCAGAGTCACTTGGTGGGGCTTGGTGAGGGTGGTTGAGGGTGGGCTGGGGGCGAAGTGGACCCATCTGCTTCATTAAACCCTCCCCCAAACCTGGACAGTGCAGATGAGGGCGTCACATCCAAGGACGCATGTCCTCAGGAGGCCAGGAAGGAGGGGAGGAGCAGAATGGAATAATGCAATGACCCAAGGGCACCCTGGAGGGACCCTTCAACTGCCTCCGGAACAATTTTTTTTGAAAAGCCAAGTCACGGAATGCTACTGACTTTTATCTTTTCATCCAAAAATGGGACGCTGACGAGGCAAGGCTGGAGGTGGCTCAGGATTCTGGGTCACCCTCTGGAGGTTGGCCTTCACAGGCAGGGTGGCCCCTCCCATGCCCTCAAACAAGTGCCAGTCTCGTGCCCTCACTCGGAGGGGAGGGAAGGCACTAACTCAGGAGGGAACATATCCTTACTGACACTCAGTGGGCTCCGAGCAGAGGCTGAAGATGTGGGGGAAATTCACCTACATTTGACATCATGAGAATGCAGAGCCTAAAACAAATCTGATGGGCTCTGAAACATCCCAAACCATAGAAACGTAGGGTCCACTTGGTGTTAGTGCTGCTGGCTTCTGAATTCCATCAAACAAGTGTTCATAAAGTCTCTGACCACAAGACAATAGATCCAGTGCCACCAGGATCCAAGATGGTCCCATGGGCAAGGCCTAGCTCAGCAGGGCATCCCAGGACCCCGCCATAGGCCTCCTGCACGTTATTGGCCCCCAGCTGCCCACCCCTTCCGGCTGGAACGGGCCATCTTCTGCTCAAAGACCCTCAGCACCTGCCCCCCCGTACCCCAAGTGCTCCCACAGGATTCACCCAGCCTGCAGTGTCTCAACAGACGGGAAAACAGGCACAGAAGGGCACACAGCACACCAGTAAGGGCTCCAGAGACCAAGTTCCCACCCCTGCCTAACCCACCACCCTGGTACCCAGACCTGGTACCCACACTGCCCAGCACACTCGCCACCTGACCCAGCATCCATCAGTCCTCCTGCCCCCAAACTCTGAAAGTCAGGATCTGCCATCCCTTCCCCTTTGACCTCTCCCTGTCCCAGGACCCTGCCCCTGCCCCTGCCCCTGCGTTCTGTCTCCAAGTGGAAGCTCGTGTCTCCCCCTAGGACCCCAACACTGTGGAAGCACCCAACATCAGGATGGACCACAAGGGCCCCTCCTCACCTGGCTGCAGCAGGGCACTCCAACACCCATGGGCAGGACCATCCTACCACACCCCAATGTCAGACCCTGACCACCACCCCTAACCTCACCTCAAACCTGAATCAAGCAGCTTCTCTGAGCAAGACAGAGCCCTGGGGGGGGGGGGGGGGAGTGACCTGGAATCAACACCCAACAGCCTGGTGGACTGCCCTCCCTCCACGCCCAGTCTCCCAGGCCCCAGGACCCGGTCCTGGGCTTTGCACACAGCATCCTGATGATGGGAATTCCGGAGCAGGAGCCTGAGGGCGCAGGGAAGACCCAGCAGTCGTTTCTATGAGCTCAGAAAAGCAGGCGTCTGAGGCTCAGCCTGGCAGAGCAGGGTCCCCAGCCTCGCCCCCCAGCATCACCCCAAAACCCCTTGAAAAATGCAGGTGCTGTCAGACTCCCATGATCAACTGCACGCCATCCAAAGGCCCAGCTGGGCTAGAAGGAGACCCTAATCTCAAGCCTTTGGGGGGGCTCAGGGCATGAGCACAGGTGAACAGGAAAAGCACCACCAGTAGAGGCAGCTGAAGGCCCCTCTTTATTAAGAACAGTGTCTTCCGTGTGTCTGACCCTCAGCCCCTGGTCCTGCTGCACGAACGACCTCTCACCCAGACACAGACCGGCAGTGCAGGGACAAGTGAGCACAGATCTCAGCCAGTGAGTGCTGTCTGGACCAGCGACACTGCCAGAGCTCAGGACTGGGTCTCCCAGTCAGTCCTCTGGGAAGGCAGGACCGGGTCGGGGAAGGCAGGCAGCAAAGGGAGGGAGGAGCAGGAAAAGAGAGGTGGAGAAGGGAGAGGGGCAGTGTGGGAGGAGGGCGAAGAGAAAGAGGGGATGGGGAGGAGGAAGGAGCAGAGGTCGGAAAGCAAAGGAAGAGGAAAGAGTGTGGGGCGTGGCCTCATCCGCCCTGGAAACCAAACTCAACAGGTCACATTACTCCTGGTAACCAAAGTGCTCTCCAGGGGCCAAAGCAGGGAGGGGGCGGGTGGGCCGGCGCCTTGCCCAGAAGCCCCAGGGGTCTGCAGAACTTGCCCCACCGCCAGCCTCCATCCCCACGCCCGCCCAAGCGCAGTGCCTGGAGGTGCCTACTAGAACGTGTCCCTGGGGAATGCTCCGGGGTGTGACTCCTACCCACCCACACCCACCCCGGGCTGCTGTGGGTGTGGACATCCTCTGTGAAGGATTATCTCTGATTTTTACAAAGCCCCTGGTTACTCAATTCGAAAGCTCCACAGTTTACCCACTGGCAAGCCAAGATGCTCTGGCCCTTGGAGGAGCCACGACCCCAAGACTTAGGTGACACCCACCGGTTTTAATCGCAGCCCATCCTTCCAGGCAAGAAGGCAAGACTCCAGACTTTCCCAGGTAGGCTGACCAGGCTTCCCCCAGAAATCCTCCCCCCCCACCCCCACCCCGCTCTGCCACCAACATTCCCCGCCCCCCTCCACCCACCCACTCAACCCCCCAGCAACGCCACCTGGCTGAGGATGGCAGAGGGGGCAAGAAAGTCCTGACCCCAGACCTCACACGAGAAATACTCAGAAAATTGAGAGCCCAAGGTCCGAGGACGCGCGCCTGGGCGGTGCCCTTCGGGCAGACCCCATGGAAATCCGCTACAGCGAGACGGGCAAGTTCACCCGCAGGGTACGTGTCCCGCACCCCCACCCACAGCGGGCAGCGGCAAACCTGACAGCAGCCAGGTACGACTTCGGGGGCCAAACACCGACGGAAGGAAGCAGCAGCAAAGGTGCCTAATTCTTCCCGGAGAGCTGTCTACGCCGCGCTACGGGGCGGCGGCCGCGCCCTCCCCACCGGGGCTTCCTCGCAGCCAAGTGTCCAGCGCTCCCCGCCACTGACGCCGGGGAGGCGGCCGCTCGCCCCATTTAGCCGCGCGGCAGGTCGAGTCCAGGGCGCTGAGCGCGGCCGCAGGGCTGGTCAGTGTCCGAAAGGCCCGTCCCTGGGGAGCCGGGCCCGCGCCCTCCCAGGCGCCCGCCGCCCGCACAACCACGGCGGCTCGGCCGGCCTTCGCCTGGGTCCTCCAGCGCCCCTTAGGCTGCGGCCGCTCGCAGCGGGCACCGGGGAAACTCAGGGAACCCCGACTGGTAAGCTGCCGCGGTGTTCACCACCTGATAAAAAATCCAGCCTTTGCGGGTTTGGGAGCTTCACGGTCCAGCTAACTTTCCAGGAAAATAACCACAGTCTGCCCGGGACGGAGGCGCGCGCCACGGAGTCCCCCCGAGAGTCCGAGCCCGGGAACCCCTCGCGGGGCGCGGGGTGACCCCGAGGCCGCCCCGAGGCGCTCGTGCGTCGGGACTCCCGGGACGCCCCCGGGCCCGCAGGGGCCTCGCTGCGCCCTCGCTCCCACGGCGGCGGCGAACGCCCCGACGGCCGGCGCGCCGCCCCGCAGCCCGCTCACCCGCTGTAGTGCGCCTTGAGGCGGACGCGGCCGCCGCTCCCGTCCATCTTGGGGCCCGTCCTGCTGGGCATGGCGCGCTCCGGCCGCCGTCAGCGCCGCGCCCCGGGCGCTCGGGCCATGGCGCGGGGCTCCCCGGGGCCGGGCGCCAGGTGGGGCGGCGGCGGAACGCGGAAGGGAGCGCGCGGCGCGGGGTCCGAGAAGCGTCGGCGCCGCCAACTCCGCAGAACTTGGGCGGCGCGCGGGACGGGCGGGGGCGCGGCGGGCGGGGGCGCCGAGTCCGGCGTCAGGCCCGCGGGGGAGTCCGAACATGGCCGACCCAGCCGGCGGCCAATCGGCGGGGCGGGCAGTCCCGGGGCGGGGGCGGTGGCACCTGCGGCCAATGAGGGCGAGGCGGGACGGCCACCTGAGCCAATCCCCGGGGGACCCCGCGGCCGCGGCCCAATGGCGCGGCGCGGAGACGTTACCTGTCGAGTGGGGCGTGGCCCACCTGTGGCCAATGGGAGTGCGCGCGGCCCGGCTCTGCCCGGCAACCCTCGGCGGCACGGGCGGCCGGCGCCCCGGACCCCTGCCTGCGCGGGCCCATCTGTGCCGGTCGCTCCGGGGTCCGCGGTCCCTAGGTGGGGTCCTCTCGCTGCAGCGCCCCGGGGACTTCGAAACTCCGGCCGTCTGTGCTAACAAGACCCGGGCGGTTCCAGGGCGAGCTTCCATCCAGGACACAGCAGGGGAGGGGCGCCGGTGCCCTGCCGGGGAGTCGGGGCGGACCGAGGGAGCTCGGCCTCCCCAAGGATAAGTGCGGTCCGGAGCTCGGACCCCCGATCCCCAGCGCGCTCCTACAGCAGGTCACCCGTCCGGCCAGTCCATAGGCGAGGACGCCGAGGCTGCGAGGAGCAGAGAGCCCGGCCAAGGTCCCGGCGGAGAGGGTCCAGGCTCCGCTGGTGTCCGGCCCCAGCCGCCCTCCTCCCCCGCGGAATCCAAGACCCCCTTGCAGGGGAGGCTTGTCCACGCTCGCTGGCCGGCCCGCCCTGCTCCTGGGATTCGGAGGCTGCATTTGCCCAGGTCGCCTATGACCTTCATTTCTGAATCCACGACATCCTTCTTGGCATTTGATCTGGTCAGCCACCTTTGAACACTATCCACGCCCCCCACACACACACACACACCCTTCAGGGACCTGCATCAGGGACCCTTAAATACAGGGTCGGGTTTCCCTGAGGAACCCACCCCTGCCTGGTTGCATCCACCAGGACCCACCTGCGCCCCAGGTCTGCGGCCCCCTCATCTCTGCCACCCCTGCCAAACTCCATCCTCCCCTTAGCCATTCCCCTGCCGCCTCCCTCCCTTCCCCACCCACTCCGTGCCAAGCCTTGGCCACTCCTGACGCTCCTCACCTGGACAACCATAAGACCTTCCCATTCTCTCTCTTTCATTCCTCACATGCTTCCTGGCGCCTCCTTGGTACCAGGCACTGGAGGGACCGCGGGGAACCAAATGGACAGTCTCTGTGACCATAGAACCCATGTTCTTCCGAGAGCCAACCACAGAGAAACCTGTTGACAACCCACTTCTCACCTGGGAACTCTCCCTTCTGGAGGAAAATAAAAAATAAAATAAAATAAGCCACCTCTGCACTCCACACCCCTCCACCCACCTGCCCATTTCTGGTTCCTCTTCACTACAAAATTCCTGCATTCCTGATTTCCACTTTATCTCTCCTGCTACTTCCTCTGAGCTCCGGTCGCCACCCAGGTCCCCACCCAACAGGACTCCTGTGTTTTAAATACAATGGTCACCCTGGCCAAGAAACTTGGTTGGGGTTGGTTAGAGCATCCAGCAACCAATGAATGCATACATAAGGAAACAACAAATTGATTTGTCTCTTTCTCTCTCAGACTTTTTTTCTTTTATTTATTTATTTGTTCCTTTATTGATTTTAGAGAGAAAGGAAGGGAGAGGGAGAGAGAGATATAAACATCGATGAGAGAGAACATCGATTGGCCGCCTCCTGCATGCCCCCCACTGGGGATTTGGCCCACAACCTGGGCATGTGCCCTGACCAGGAATTACCAGCGACATCGATGTGAGAAAGACACATCCAGTGGTTGCCACACGACCCCAACTGGGGCCAAGGACAAACTGCAGCCTAGGCACGTGCCCTTAGTGGGTACCGAACCCGGGACTCTCTGGTCCGCAGGCCGACACTCTAACCACTGAGCAAAACCGGCCAGGGTGCTCATACTTTTCCTTAATTGACCCTTGCCAGGTCCCCTTAGAAACTCTCTCCCACCCCCACCCCGTGCTGCTTCCTCCCCTCAGGTTTTGGCTCCAAATGCCACCCGAATCTCAGACTGCTCCCCTGCACTGACCCCCACCACGCACCTCTCACCCCAACCACCCTCTGCCATGCTCTTCTTCGTCTCAGTCGTGCCAAACCCACCTGTCCAGGTCCTCAACTTGGAGACCTTGGAGGCCCCTTTGTCTCCTCCTTCTGACACCTCACACCCCTCCAGCTGCAGATCTTGAACGTTCCACACTCAACATATTTCCGGATTCCAGCCACATCCTGACACCTCGGTGGCAGCCTCCTGGTCCAGCCTCAGCTTCTGCGCTGGGATTTCTCTGCAGCAGCCTCCAGGGTCCTAAAAACACGAGCCGGCCCTGGCCGGTGGGGCTCAGTTGGTTGGCATGTCCTCCCGTGCATCGAAGGGTCAAGGGCTGGATTCCTGGTCAGGGCACATACCTGGGTTGTGGGTTCAGTCCCCAGTTGGGGTGCATGTGGGAGGCAGCCAATCGATGTTTCTCTCTTACATCAATGTTTCTCTCTCTGTCTCTCTCCCTTCCTTTCTATTTCTTAGTTTTAGTTTCAGTTTTTTGTTAATCTTCACCCAAGGATATTTTTCCATTGATCTTTAGATAGAGTGGAAGGGAGGGATGGAGGGGGGGAGAGAGAGAGAGAGAGAGAGAGAGAAACATCAATGTGAGAGCAACACCTCAGGGCCAGGGATCAAATCTGCAACCCAGGTACATGCCCTTGACCAGTAATTGAACCCTCAACCCTTCAGTCCGAGAGCTGACACTCCAACCACTGAGCCAAATTGGCCAGGGTGTCTCTCTCTCTCTCTCTCTAAAATCAATAGAAACATGTCCTCAGGTGAGGATTTTTTTTTTAATTGTTAAAAAATAAAAGAGTCTAGCCCTGGCCGGTTTGGTTCAGCGGTTAGATCATCGGCCTGCGGTCCAGAGAGACCCAGGTTCAGTTCCCGCTAAGGGCATGTACCTCAGTTGCAGTTTGTCCCCGGCCCTGGGTGGCAACCACTCAATGTGTCCCTTTCACGTCGATGTTTCTCTCTCTCTCTCCCACTCTATCTGAACAAAATATTGAAAAATGTCCTCGGGTGAGGATTAATAAATAAATAAATAAAAGAGTCTATGTCCATCTGTCTGGTGTTCAGAACCCCCAGTGATGCCCACTGTTCTCAGGAAAAGCACACAGGCCCTACAAGGTCTGGAACCCGTCTCTTTCCGCCCCCATCTCCCACCATCTGCTGCCTGGGTCACTCACACCAGCCACCTGGCCACATGGCTGCTTCTTGCCTCAAGGCCTTGCCACCTGCTCTGCTCTTCCCCGGGAGCACCTCCGCCCAACCCACACTTCCTTTAGCCTTCACCTGACCTGCATGTATCGGTCTACCCCACCCCCGTGGGTGATCCTCCCCCCAGCATGCACACGGAGCCCCACGGCCGTCCCTTGGGAGCCGGGTGAGGGGAGCAGCGCGGGCACACGGGGATGAGCAGGAGTCTGCCATAGGAACAGCAACCAGAAGGCGAAGGTGTGGGACGCAGCCCCCCTGTGCCAGGCCCCTCAGCCGACCCCATGGCCAGCCTTGCGGCCTTGTCCCCGCAGCCTTGGGCACATCCTGCTGGGTCCCACCTCTGTGGGCACAGGCCAGCCTGGAGGGGCCCTCTGACATCCCGCAGCATCTCCTGGCATTCTGATTTCCTGCCACAGAGCTTGTCCAACAGGGAGGTAGCGCCATCCCGGATGTCACTGCCGGCGGGACCAGCGGGCGGCGGCCATTCCACTGGGCGCCCCAGCCGAGTCCTCATCAGACGCAGCAGCCCAAGTCAAGCCTCCGAGCCCTCTTTTAAAAAAATCCTCACCCGAGGATATGTTCTATTGATTTTAGAGAGAGAGTGAGGGGGAGAGAGAGAAAGAAGCATTCACGTGAGAAACATCAATCAGTTGCCTCTCATACCCACCCAGATGCTCCAACCAACTGAGCCACCCGGCCGGGGCCCCAGAGCCCTTTCTAACCAGGAAAACCCTTGCTGGGGTTGGAGCCCCTGGCATTCCGCGACCCCGGGCACTGGCCTGGCCGCAGCTGCCACTGGGAGCCCCCCTTCTGGGGCTGTGCTGGGCCCCTGCAGCCCCAGTCCTGGCGAGGGAAGGCCCAAGGGGGGCAGCGGCGGCCCGGGGGGGGGGCTGTTCTTCATGGGGGTTGGGGAAGGGGTGCTGGGAGAGGTTCCACCCCTGGGTTTGGGACCAGACCATGTGCAGCCCCTGGCTGGGGTGAGGGCACAGGGGTCTCCTGTGGTGCCCAGGAAAGGTCACCTCTGCCCAGGGACAGTGAAGGTCTGGGCTTTTGAGTCCTCCTCACCAACTAGCTCCACACACATAGCCCCCCATCGGCCCACCCAGACTGCCTCTGGGTGAGGGTGGGTGACTGCAGGGGCTTCCTGGCAGCCACTAGCCACTGAGCCACCCCACGGGGGCCTCAGGGGCAGAGGGTGTGGTCCGGGCCCACAGGCGTGCCCATCCAGCTTCTCAGTGCCCAGGGCCCGCTCTGTGCTCCGGTGACCAGACGGAGTCTTTGTTCCCAAACCTTCCAGCCACCTCTGCCTCCGGACATGGTAAGGGCCGAGGCGGGGTCAGCCTGGGTCTCCGGGAAGCTGGCACACGTGGAGCGAATGAATGAGTGAATGATGCAGAGGTGAAGCCCCCATTCTAGGGGCCCCTGGGCAGGGTGTCATCTCTTCATAAAGTCATAGCGACACCGTGAGGCTGCCAGCGCCT